AGAAAGAGAGAATAAGAAACAGAGAGAGAGAGAGAAAAAGAAACAGAGAGAGAGAGAGAGAGAGAGCGAGAGAGAGAAACCATAATCATCAAGTTGCATGTTTTGACCTTTTTTTTGTACTTGGTGGAACCAGACTTTGGACCTAGATCCTGACAGGGTCATGGACATTGTCCTTCTATTTTCACTACATTAAATAATGTGATGTTGTTTTGGTTAAAGCAGAACTCTGTTTCATTCCTGTTATTGGACCTTTAACCACATAAAACAGTCATTTTCTTAAACGACAACAAAAACGACAATTCTTTCACTGATAGACGTGTTTAGTAAAAACATTTAAACCATAACAATTATTTATAAATTACTTATTCACAAAAAAAAAAAAATTCCCCTTGACGTCAAGTTAAACCTTCTTCTCTGCGGCTCCGGCTGTGACGAGGGCAGCACCTCTGACACTGCTGTCGTCCACTGTGAGGAAAGTCACATTACACTGAGGAGCTAACACTGTGAGCGTCTCCTTCAGGACTCTGGGGAAACTAGAAAAAAAAGAAAGAAAAAAAACCCACTGATATTTGTCTCAGGTGGGATGTTGACACCAGCTTTGGTCAGAGGGACTCACTGTGGATGAAGTTTGTGGACGGTCCCGTCTACACCTGCAGTGATGCTAAGACGGTCCAGACCGCTGTTCTCTCTCATCTTGTCCACCACAGCTGCCATTCCTGCCCCGCACAGCTGAGCAGCTCGACGTGACACAGCGCCACAAACCTGACAAAGAAACAAAGTGGCAATTTTACCATAATATATTACATTTAACCTGAACATCTGTTCTGAAACTGACTTGTGACCAGTTGCAGTGTGGTGGATTAAATTAGTTCAGTTCTTCTAAATGAGTTAAATTTCAGAAAATTCTCCTTGAGTTGTGGCATCATACCTTGATGATGCATTTGGAAATATATAATATACATATAAATGTAGTATAAAGAAATATATATTACCTCCTGTAAATGTGAGAGGTATAAAGATAAGATCATTACAGCAGCAGGATAGACATAATAGTAACAGTAACAGCAGTGTACTGGACTAAAGTTGACAGTCCTAAGATTTTATCTGTAGTGGGAGAAGTATTTACTATAAAAACCTGAATTTTGTTTCAAAATACTTTCTTTCTTTACGGTAAAAACTGGGAAAGTCTTTACCTCTTTCACAATGATGGCGTCATCACAGGTGCAGTCAAGGCCCAGACCCTGCAGGATAGATCTGACCTGCAGTAGAGCCAGGCGATCGCTAGAGGGAAACAAAGGCAACTTAAAAAAATAAAATAAATTTGAAGGTGAACTCTTTGAGCGATCGCTAGAGGGAAACAATAAATTTGAAGGTAACTCTTTTAAGTCAACAAATATTTCAGGGGTCAAATACTCAAACACTAACATGACGAGACAGGTTTCCATACCTCTCTGTTTGTGAAAGATATTTGGTTTGAAAAATTCCAGGTGTTTTCAAGGCCTCTGTGACATGACCTCTGAACAGCAAACCTCTTCTGGTTAAATCCAACAACGTCTGACGCACAACTTCACCCAAATACATCCCACTGGTCATCTTTTCAAACCTAAACACATTAATTGTTTTTTTGTATTATTTATTTGAATCTACATGAGCACCTGTATGAGATTTAGTGAGTGTTATGACCTTTGTTTTCCAGGATTGTGTGAGTTTCGATCTACTGCGACATCATATGAGGTGGTGATTTCATCCAGAGAGCCGTCGTCACCCAGACCCCCCCACTCTGTATTTATACACATCCTCTGTATCTCCCTGTCTGTCGGGTCGTCCTGTTGAAGTTGACCATTAAATATAAGTGGAACTGGTTCATGAGAAGATGTGTTGTCAAATCTAAACAGTCAAATTAGAGACTCTTCACCTTTTCCCACTTGATGTTCTTTAGTTCCTCCATGTAACACAGGTTGGTTCCAGTTCCTGATAAAACATTCACACACTAACTTAAAGCCACATTTCCGTATGGTGATAACAGTACACAGTTGACAGTGAACACTGCAGTGTCACAGAGTTGTTATAGTTATATTATTATTCCCTGAGTAGACATACCAACGATGAGTCCAAGTTCACACCGAGGATCTCCATGAGCACAGCCCACCATGGTCCCAACTGTGTCATTGACCACTGCTGCTACGTCCAACTCAAACTCCTGCATGAAATAAAAAAAATCAAGGAATCCATAATAAAAACAACAATAATAATTTGAACTCTGTTGATCCCACACTTGGGAAATTATTGCGTCAACAGCAGATCCGCTGCAACAGGCAACATGTCTCATGGATGCACCAAGTATGGGATTCTACTGGGAATCAAACTAAGGACTCTCTTCTTGCAAGGCAGGCATGCTAACCGCTACTCTATGGAACCACAGAAAAATATAAAATGCATATTTATCCACTCTTTCTGAAATCCATTCTGAAAAACTTTTGACCTGCTTTTTGCAGCTACGTGTTTATTCATATAACAGGTAAATGTGAAGCCAGTCTGAGAAACGACTCATCCTGCCACCTGCTGTTCTCAGCCTTACATTGCGTCTCTCGATGGCCTCCTGCAGCATTCTGACAACGTGGTGTCCTTCACAGTCTGTGGCCCTGACGCCTTTGGTCCAGCTCAACAAAGTGGCCTGGAGATCGCAAACACACAATGACCAATCTGTCATCATTAAACTAGTGCATCTAGGAGGACAGGGCCACAGCTTGAGACTCACTTCACCAACTGCCGTCTGATCGCAGGGGAAAGGAAATAAGAGACCAGCAGGAAGATGGGATTTTTTAATTCCCATGTAGTCCAGGTAGTCACTGACACAGCCTGCGATGTGGTCAAAGAACTGACAGGGGAGGGAGACAGAGAGAGAGAGAGATCAGACGATTGTAGTAAATATATGTTTTTACATCATACTGTATAACTGTCTCACTTCTGTTCCAGCTCCCTGTGTTATCTCTGCTGGGATGGGGTAGATCTTGTGCTGGAGCTGTGGCTCCTGCGGGTCTTTGTTGAAGTTTACCAAAAAGGCTTTAAAGAATGTTTCTTCCAGAGCCAGGACGAGAACTTCTCCATGTTCTTGAGAAAAAAACAACACAAAACAAAACAAAAAAACACACATGTAAACACTTCTCCATGTTCTTGAGAAAAACACACAACACAAAACAAAAAAACACACATACAAAACAAAACAAAAAAAAAAACACACATGTAAAACTTAATCTTACTGGTACTGCAATTTGAGCAACATAGGATGAATATTAAATGTTACCTGAGCTTTCAGGCAGCTGACACACAAAGGAAGGCAGCATCTTGATTTCCGAGCGTCTTTCCTGCCTCAGCCCCGCCTCCAGTCCTGCTCTCATTTTGGCCTTCACCATTTGGAGCTGCTCAATACTCAGTCGGAGCGGAGACAGAGCCTCGTCCACCTGGAAGACGAACAGATAAAGTGTACGGCTCAGCGCAGATGTTTGTGTTTTGAAATAGACAATGGCAGAAACGCAGCGTCCTGACCTTTTGTCTCAGGGACACTCGTCTCTGGGCTACAGCTGTCACCAGCGCTGCTCCTCTGCTGCTGCCTCTCTCTGACACCACAAATCTCACCTGACACTCGGGGAGTAAACGCCGCACTGCTCCATGAAGACGTTTGGGATACCTGTGGGGAAAAAATGGAAAATACTTCCACTGTGTGTGAGTGTTCAATTCGCCTGATCCCCAGTCTGCATTTTTTGGACTGTCAGATGAAGTTGGAATACACATTTCAACCATATTTCATTATAAATTAAATACATTTATCAAAATTAAAGTGGATGTTTTTGGAGCAGGTCAATGTCTTACTGTGGATGGGTCCTGTAAACCGATCCATCCACACCCACAGTGACCCTGAACGTCCTCAGCCTCCTGTTTTCCTTGATCCGAGTGAGGACGGCCACCAGACCTGCGGCCACCAGATTTGAGGACCTGAGGGACACAGTGGTGCTGATGTGCTGAACAGCGACACAGTCTTCGGGTGAGGGCGTCAAACCGAGGGCCTTGAGGATGACTCTGGTGTTCTTCAGACCATTTCTGTACCTGAGAAATGGGAACATTTGTAACATTTCCCTGTTTTCAGAAAGACTTAAAATGACTCAGATGACCTACTCCTCCATGGCTGCCACATCTGCGGTGCTTATTTTTCCCCTAGTCCTCAGAGCACTAGACACACATCCATCAAACAGAAGTCCTAATTTGGCCATCTTCAGCAGCACCAGCCTCACCAGCTCACCCAGATACATCCCGCTGACCATTTTCTCAAAGCTGTGAATAAAAACAACAATGTTGTCACCAACGTCACCGTCATCTTTTACATGTACGACCAGTACAACCTAGCCTGGTCTCTTACATCTGTTTGCCAGGATTGTTGGAGGCTGCATCCACTTCTCTGTCAAACTCCGTGATGTAGTCCTTCAGAGTACCGTCCTCTCCGAATGCTCCCCACTCCGTGTTCACACACATCCTGCCCTCGTCTCCTTCCACCAGGTCAATGTGACGCAGCTCCTCCATGTAGCAGGCGTTGGTTCCTGTACCTGCAAAAAAAAAATCATAAAAGAGCAAATAATGTTAACGTAACATAACGTGGACTTGGTCACTTTAACAAATAATAATATGAGCTACAAATATTAATAGTATAGTTTTATTTAGTATAATTAATATAATTTATAAATAACACAGTTTTTAATTATCAATGTTTTGTTGTTATTATTGTTGTTACTGCAATTATTTTATTATTACAATTGGTTATTTTATTATTGTTTTTTGTATTAATGACATAAGTAATGGCGCCGTGAATTTAGACCAATGATCCTTGGACACCCTCTAGTGGTAAACGGTGAATTTAAAAACCCCGTAAACAGACAAATTAAAAGATAATTCAGACGGGTACATTATGTTCTTAGTTTCATCACAGCTGTAACTCGGTCGTATGAATTCCACCAGTGAACCTACCAACAATGAGTCCCACCTCACAGTGCTGGTCATCAAGACCACAGGTCATCATGGTGGCTACAGTGTCGTTGACCAGAGCCAACACGTCAACATCAATTCCCTGAAGATGGAAAAGGGATAAAGCATTTAAGCCGAATAAATTCCCTGAAGATGGAAAAGGGATAAAATATGTTTATTAAGCCGAATGAATATGTTTATTTGTGTAATAATTTGTGCAGAGGGTAGTTCCAGTAAGACAGTAAATACATAAAAAAAGAGCATTATGGGAGTGTAGCAACAAAAGCTATAGCAAACATTTCCTACCCCAGTTCTGTCAATGGCCTCTCTGAGGGCCTGGACCACATCTTTTCCCCGGACACCTCGAACATGGAAGTTTTTACTCCAGTCTAACAACAGTCCCTGGACAGAGAGGAGATTTTTTATTTATTCAAACAGATAAAGAATTACAGTGAAAATACTCCAGGTACAGATACATTGACTAATTTAGTGCGGAAACAGAATACCTGACCGAGGCTGGACTGTTCACAGGGGAATGAGAACGTAAAGGCCAGAGGATGTTTCTTCTCCATGTTGATGTTGTTCTCATGCACAAAGTCCTTCAGAGACTCTGACACATGGTCAAATAACTATGACCAAACAGTAACAAAGAAACAGAGATGTTGATTGGCTGCTTAAGCCATCTGTGGTCGCTTATTACTGTCTTTCAGCTTCTCCTCCTCCATTTTCATGTCACCTTCTTACCTCAGCTCCTTTGCCCTCAAGCAGCTCTTGTGGAATTGGGAAGATCTTCTCATGCATCTCCACCCTTCCCCTTCTTACTCCCTTCCCCTCTCTGACTTTAACACAGAGCACCTTGAACCTGGAGCCTCCAAGATCCAGAGCCAGAAACTGTCCTTTCTCTGCGGCCAAAGTAGACAGAGACCGTGTTCACAGTGTCTGCTGGCTAAACATTCAAAAACAGGGGGAAAAAAAAGGTGTCTTTTTGAACCTGATCCATCTGGAGTGGACCGGACGTGTGTTGGAAGCATCTTGACCACCGCGGCAGCGTTGCTTTCTGCCGATAGACCTTTCTTCATTTCTGCCAGGAAAAGACTGGAAATGTCTTTGAGCTGCTCGTCACCGAGACGCATCGCCTGCAGAAATCTGTCCACCTGGAACAAAGGTCCATCAGTGTGGGTTTAAAAAAACAACAACTCTATTCTCATTGATTAAAGGTGTATAAGTGGTGTCGAAGTGTCTCCACTGTGGCATGATTAACAAATCATAGTAAAATTTCGATTTATTTCCCTTGCTGTCTCCACACATCCCTTGCAACGGTTGCCCTTTGGGAGGTCGCCCCCTATTTTGGGAACTATGTATGGAGAAATGACAGAGTTAAGGGAAATTTTTTTTTTGCTGAATTATGAAAGTCAAGACTTGAGAACATAGGTCATTCTTGAGTAGTTCTGCTATTCCCTCCAAAGCTCAACTGTCACTGCTAATTAATAAAGGTTTGAGTTCTGGCTAAATAGGTTTTGCTACTAAACACCAGTCTTCTGATTAGCATTATTTAGCAACCAAAATGAGTAAATCAACTGAAACGATATTGTACTGTTCTTATGATGATAATTAATGATTAATAAACTTCAATAAAGCATTTTCTAAAACATATAACATTTTGAAATAGTTTATATAATATGTTAAAACTGGTTGTTTTGTTGGTGATTTGGCAGAAAATAGATTATGTATTTTCCTTTTTTCGCAGTGTTAACTGTTTCCCCTGTTATTTTAATTGATTTATCTAAACAAAAGATTTGAATTTTAATTTGTTGTGTTAGAAAAATAAATAAATGAATAATTCATGCTCTGTAATATTCAGTAGTATCTTCTTTTTCTCTTCATAAACAACAACAGCTGGAAATCTGTTGACTCAGCAGAACTTTGACTGACGTTTTTTTTTGTTTTGTTTTGTTTTTTGCAGCACGTCCATGTGACACGGTGCCTCGGAGTGTGTACGTGAACTACCCGTGTTTGTGTCAGCGTGTACGTGCACCAATCCTGATAGGACTGTCAATATTGTGTTTGTCTCAGACTGTTTTGCACCAAAGACTGACACTATCGTATCAATGTGTTAATCATTGCCCACGGGGGAGATTACGGGTGAAAGAGTAACTGCTGATGACTGCATTTAATATTCAACAACATTTAATGTTGGAATATCTTAAAGTTGTCAAAAAGTAAAAGAAAGAAAGAAAACAGTGCAAAACTCAAAAAGTAAAAGAAAGAAAGAAAACATATGTAAAAAAAAAAGAAAAATATGGTAAAAACCGTCAGGAAAATACCCATATAACGGCAGGTTTTTGAAACATTCATTTCAGAGAAAATAATTTGTGGGCCATAAAAAAACTATCCCAGTGACCAAGATGCCTTAGAAAAACACTTAAGGTAGTAGTGTATCTGACTCATAAACATGGCCAACTTTATGACGTCGTTGTTCTTATAACACTGGTGTTTTGCATGTTTACACAAAGAAAAAAAACAATAAAATAAAAATAAAAACACTCTTCTTCTGCAGATAGTTTTTAGTCTTACCTCCTTGTTGGGCTCCTCCTGGACTTTGGAGAAGAGGAAAGAAACCAAATGAACTGCCAACATCTTGTTTGTGCAACACACAATCACATTAAACACAGCAGTTTTTCTGACAACGTTGTCTTTTCATATCATGTGCACAACACGGTGCATGAACCTGAGCATCCAAAACCAGAGAAGTGTCCTCAGAGTTTAATCCCTGTCCTCCCTCTGATTGTTGAGTTATTTTTCTCACTGATTTCACTGATCAGACAGCAACACCTACAAAGACAAAATGATTAACAAACCACTCCTCCCTCCCTCCATCTATATACCCTCCCCTCTCCAACAACACTTTCCCCGTCTGTCCTACTGCCCTACTGATCTGTCACTACACACTCGTCACTGTCAACACATCCCCCCGAAAAAACAGAAAAAATGTGCGTTACTGTCAATCTTCCAAACCACATTGACTTGAAGGACAAGAAAAATCAAGTACAGTTGAATTAACTTTCTAATTGTAAAAGACAAACAAATGATTTAAACAAAACAAAAATTAAAATAAAGTAACATCCTGTTAACACAACTGCTAACTCAATAGTTGGTTTCAGCCATTTCTTCTAGAGGAATCGCTGGCTGATTGTTATCCTCCTCTTGTAGGTTGGATAAAATTTAATAAATGCTAAATGAATAAAAAAAAAGTTCTTTCAAGAAAAAAAAGCCCCCTATAACAAACAAACTGTGAACTCTGGCAGTGATGAAGACAAAGATTAAAGTCTCTTGAGACATTAACAAGGATAATATTTTATTCACACATTTTTATCTACCAACGTGAAAATATGTCACAGTCCATCTGTTCGTATAAGAACAGAGCTGGGTGTATTCTATTCAAACATAACTGACCAATATCCATATGAACTCCTCCCACTACAGCACAGCAATGGCACAGGTGTTCCATTTGTCCAATGATTGCAATTGATCTTTCAAATAACACATGTTAACAAACACAGGTGTTTTCACAACATTTTTGACCACAGTGATTCAAGACAAATAGACCATTTTTAAAAAAAATCAACCTTCTTTTTTAGTAAGTCTGATGTCTGGCTTCAGTTTATACCTGTTGTGTTTATTTTACTGGATTTGTAACAACAACAATCTCTGATTAGGGTTGTTATTATTGAATTAACACATTAATACTGTACTTCATGGAAATAAAGGCTTATATTCTGATTTTAGAAACCATGAAAACACTGCTTAAAATCTATTATGATTGAAGAGATCAGATGTGTGTATAGAATAGGCAGCTTGATCCTGCATATCAACAGAAAAGTCACATATATGTATATCTATATATTTATAGATATACATATATATTTATATTTGTATATATGCTTTATATATACATACATATAAAACATATTGTTTGTTTGTTTGTAGTACAGTTTTAATTTCTATTATTGAAAGTATTTCTCTGGTGCATAGAGACAAACCCTGGGTCATATTGGGGGGAGAGGAGGGGCTGTTGATCCGTACTGGATTGAGATCCAGAACATCGTAAATAGATAGAAAATGTAACCGCATGATAAAATAATAGTCAGTGTTAAAATGATTAACGTTAGCTTTTTGGACATTGATATAAGAGCAATAAGTGTAAACGACGTGTCCCAGTGCACACCATGAATCAAACCATTTCTGTTTTACACCTTTAATTAGAAACTGTTTGTGGTCAGGGGTTTTTACCAGATTTGTTTTTTTTACTGCCTAAAATCACTTCTTCTCTTTCACAAAAAAAAATGGATGTTGGAGTCAGTGTTCACATAAAGAGCAAACATTCCCTCTTCACTTCTTCTTTCTCTTCGTTCCACCACTGTGGTTTTCATTATGAATTGTACTGGGCGAACTCTGCGTGGCGAAATTGGAGTTTTGCTTTTCAGACCATTCCTTCTGGAGCTGCTGAAGCAGATCGGGGGTCAGCAGCCCGTCCCTCACCAGTCGTCCAGCCAGTGATTTGTCCATGATGCTCTTCACCCGAGGCCTGGGTCCAGTCTGGATGGTCACATCCTGGTGCTGGGCTGATTTGCTCTGACCACCGGTTGGTCTGTTGTTCTGCTTCTGTGCCGACTCGGTCGCGGCCGTCTCGCTGACCCTAATGAGACGAGTGATGTTCCTCACACCCTCCTGGATGATGTCATCCAGCTGCTTCTGGATATGTCGAACCAGGGCAGCCTCTGGGAACATGTCCATGAAGCGGTAGCTGCAGACGGAGCAACGGCAGCAACAGTTACACGACAGAGAGCTTTTTAGGTTGGGGAACGTATATTATTGAGTTTATAGAAAATAAAGATATATTCAATTAAGGTTACCTCAACCAGAGGTAAAGATCCAGAACATCATGGACAGCTTCTAGGTGAACCAGATCTTTGATGTTTTTGGGTGGGGACAGAGGCCAGCTGACGTGGCGACAGATCCAGTCGAACGTTAGAGGTTCGTCTCGACTGAACTGACGGGCAAACTGTCACGGTAGAAACAGGAAGTTAAGCGTTATCCCGAAAACAATATAGGTAACATTACATTTTTTTAAATTCTTTTCAGTAATTTTCTATTTATTAATTAGTAGCTTGCTTACTGTATATAAATACACATACATATATCTAAAATGCTGCCAGCTATATGTATTTTATATGTACAAATATATACTTATTTATATATATAAAATATAATATATGTATATATTCCATTTATGTACATGAAAGCCCTATTTTCACTTTTTAGACTCTTTCCTGAGGAACCAACTCCCCTCCGTTGAACGCGGGTTTGATTGGACCACAGAGTGGCCGTCTACTACCGTTGTTTACCTCTGGTGTTTTTCACTTCGACAACACTGACCCACTTTGAGTCATGTACCAAACAGAAGTGATGACGTAAAACTCAGTGTCTCGGCATTAAATAAACTTCCTATCTTCTGTTTACTCTTCCACTGACCCCAATAAACAGAGTCAGTGATAACGTTCCTCCTGTGGCTCCACATTAGCTCGGCCTCCGTTCACCTCGACTCCTGCTCACCTTCAGGACAGAGGTGCAGACGAAGGCTTGCTTCTTGTTGATGGGGGCAGTGCAGAAGACGTAGCGCGACCTGAGGTTGAGCGGAATGTGCTGAATCATGTCGGCCAAGAACTTGAAGTCGTCGATGTTGCAAACGAAATAGAGACCGTCCACCTGAGACAGACTGACAAAAATGTCCTGGGGAGAAGGAGAGAGGAGTCGCTGAGTTTGTCTGGTCAGACCATGAAACTGTGTTAATGTTAGTTCACCTTTTATTGACACGATGCATGGAGCTGCATTTGTGATTGAAAGAGGATTTCAGGACAAAACTTTTTTTTTAAATACTTACAACAAGGTTGGACAGTGTGGCATCAGGGAGATGATAGGCAAACATCTCCAACTGCTCTGCTGTGGGATGGAGGCCTGCGATCTGAGAGAGAAAGATTCAAAATTCAGCTGTGAATTCAGTAAAACCATTTCATGTTCTAAATAAACCTTAAAAAGGGTATTTTTAAAAGTTTAATTTGTCTTCAAAACAAATTTATGTAAGTGTCTGTTTACTGCTCTTTCCAACAATCCATAACCAAGAACAAATATGTTCCAGAATATTCTCCCAAGCAATCTCAGATATACCGTAGGGCCTGAACACACTGTAGCATGTAGTGTTATCAGGGGAGACAACAATCTGTTTACATCAACAGTATTGTAGTGTTATCAGGGGAGACAACAATCCTCTGTTTACATCAACAGTACCATCCATCCTACGTGGCAGGTTCAGGGTCAAACGACAGTCAAGACAAAATAATGTTGAGGTGTAAAACGTGCAATATATTGTTATGGCCATGTTAACTTTAACGGCCCTGAGAGAGAAAGAGACGGAGATCACCTCTATAGGATCAACAGTCTGACTGAGCAGCTCCTTCAGAACCGGCAGATCATCTCGGTGCATGGTTGTCACTTCTCCTTCCTTAAAATTGGAGGAAAACCTGCATCAGGAAACAAGATCAAACAGATGGAACCAATAAATCGTTTCATGTTTTTTTTTTACTTTAAAAACAACACTTGTATTCAGAACTGAGTCAGACCTTCCTGCACGGCCAGCGATCTGCAGAGCCTGTGAGGTGCTGATGGTGTCCATCTGTTTCTCCCCCTTCTCATTAATACTGGGCTTCACCAAACTGTTGAAGATGATTCGTTTTATGCTCCTAGAGATCGACACAAAATGAAAAAAAAAAAAAAACGCGTTAAAGTGGATGGAAATTATTTTTGTTGAACAACAGCATATTAAAATACATTTTAATTAATTTCGAGATTGTACTTACAAGTTCAGACCCATTCCAATGGCATCAGTTGCAACCAGGATCTTGCAGGGGTCATCGGGGTCATTGAACTTCTTAGCCTGGGTCAACTTGGTACCTGTGGAAAAGATAACTGTCAAAGCAGAGCAAAGTGTACGCAGCAACACTTCTCTCTCAATATTGACTTGGGAGACACGAGTCAGACCAGGGTTTTCTCCAGCTACCTTTAACTGTGAACCTATTGACTCACGTACCTGGAGGTAAGCTTCCATAGATAACAGCACACTCCCGTCCCTGGGCCTCAATCTGTCTGCTAATGGAGTAGATGTCATTTTTACTGAAGCAGACGATGCAGTCTCCCGGTCTCAGGTTGTCTAACGACTCCAGAGGACGGTCCAAGACTGAGAAGGGAGTTAAACGCTCATAGGTGTGAACCTGAGGTGAAAAGATGAGAGGATGTAAAAGGGTTGGTTTTTTTTTTTTTTTATCCCAGGAAGACCATCAGTCCAATCCTCACCTCCACTTCCTCTCCTGTGGTGAACATGAGTTCTCTGACAAAGTTTACAGCTGCAGGTTCTCCACACACGTGGATCTCCTCTGCACAGAGACCTAGAAATGCACAACACAAAGTCAAAGATTAGGGAACTGAAATGGTTTGACTTTTGTTTTTGCACAGCTTGATTTTTCACAGATGTTTTTAAGAAGTACAAACCCAGCAGAGCTCTGGTCCAGGCCCAGCCTCTGGAAGGGTCTTTGATCATCTGAATCTCGTCGATCACAGCCACTTCATCTGAGGGAGAAAAGTCCAAACAAAAGCTAAAAGTGGGGCGTAACAACATACATATATTACACATGTAATTTGATTGTTGATTATTAATCATGGTCGTGCCACTGATTGGTTTCAATTCTGTCAAAAGTTTCATTACAAGGTGTGTTGACACTGCACATCTCAATGGTGCAGGCCAAGTGAGCAGCAGGCCGACCGCTCGGGTCCACAAACGTCCTCTCCTCTCCAGTCACCAGGTCACATGGCACATCCTGGTAATACACACGCGCACATACAAAAACACACAAGGCAGAAAAGTCTTCAGTCTCCCTCTACTGGTACATTACATATAGAAATGACATCATCCAATCACAAATGAGCTGAAAAGGTTTGGATGATCCTGTTCTAAAATGGTACTCAGAGGAACTCACGGCGCTGTTGCTCTTCTCAAAGATCTCATGGGCCAGTAGTTTCAGAGGACCACAGTAAACTCCAGACTTGGCTGACAGGTAGCGCTGAATGGCATGGTACGTTTTCCCACTGTTAGTGGGACCTGAATGAAAAATCACTTTTCTATGGATGGCACGGGCTTCGGGGTACCTTCAGTACAAACACATACAAAAAAACAACAACAGATGAATACAATAAATCCCACACACTTAAATGAAAGCAGAAATGTCAACTCTGTCTCTGACACAAAAATGTAATCTAAACCGCACTGGCGTTTTAGATTTTGTTTGAAAAACATCACACACCAGTTGACTGGGACTCTGAGGTCGGAGATCTTCCTCAGGTCATCCATACAGTCCAGCATGGGAAAGATTTGCTTGGCATGGCGCAGGAAGTATGGGTAGATGTCGTCAATGTGACCTGAAAAACAAAGCTTTGAAATTAAAACACAAATGCTTTGAAATTATTGGTACATTTGACAGGGAAAATATATAGATATAAACAGAAAAACTAAACACTGACTCCTGCATACCAAGTAAAAAGGTGCGTGTTTACATCTGATTTTTTTTTATATTTTATTTTTATATTTATCTATATTGCAAGGAATTAAGGAGGAATCCGGGAGAAGAGTGGGTTTTATCCATAATAAGAAGAAACATAGACTTCGTTAATGTTATCAAACCTGCT